TGGTGTGGAAACATTATGGGTTCGTGGAGTCAGACGTGGATCAAGTAGACACAGTGTGTAAACTTTGCTACGGTGTCATAGCTGCGCCACAGAGCAACACTGCAAAGTTCATAAATGTTTACATTTTTCATTTATTTTTTATATTGCAAACATTTGCATTGTTATCAGTATTTGCACACTATTTTATATTATTTTTTAAAGTCATTATTCAATACATTGTTATTGTTAACCCTTTAAATCCCTGTAGAACCGGAACTGCGTAAGCTAGCGCAATAATTTGTTTTGCATATGAAACCGGAGGAGTTGCCGTGCCACCAGGGGCAGCACGGTGGTCTAGCACTGTTGCCTCACAGCAAGAAGGTCCTGAGTTCAATTCCACCATCAGGCCGGGGTCTTTCTGTGTGGAGTTTGCATGTTCTCCCCGTGTTTGCGTGGGTTCTCTCCGGGTACTCCGGCTTCCTCCCACCGTCCAAAGACATGCAGCTTGTGGGGATAGGTTAATTGGATAATCCAAATTGCCACTAGGTGTGAATGTGAGTGTGAATGGTTGTCTGTCCCTATGTGTTAGCCCTGCGACAGACTGGCGACCTGTCCAGGGTGTACCCCGCCTTTCGCCCTATGACAGCTGGGACAGGCTCCAGCGCCCCCCGCGACCCTGAAAAGGATAAGCGGAAGCGAATGGATGGATGTATATGAAACCGGAGGAGTTGTACTTACATCTTATGCCATCAGCTTCCTTCCACATAAAGCTTTGCAAAAATTGCATAAAAAGCACTTGCAGGAACAAAAACATAATATTCCAGAAACACGCTTTGCCGATCCGATCAGCTGTTCGTAACACTTCCCAAAAGATGTCACGCGAACTATCGCATGTCCGCCATTTCCTGTCCGAAACCGGAAGTGACGTCATTTTCGCGGAAAATGTAGTTTTTTACTTGTAGGCCTTAAAAGCCTATACTGGTGTTTTTATAAGTCATGTTTGACTTTTCTGAATAGTTTCTGGGATGCTTAGAACTCGAATTGCACTGCTGGAAATAGTTTATTTTGATGCACCTGCTGTTTTCTTTGCAAATTTGCATCATAGGATTGTTTTTTGTTTTTCCTGCAGTATATAAAAATTGCTGTATCTCCAAAATAAAACTATGAAGACACTCAAAATAAATTTCCTGTGGTGGGAAACTATTTTTTGCAACTTTTTTGTATTTAAAGTTTTGAGGGATAAACCTCTTAAATTTCTCCAAGTAGAAATATATGTAAAAAAAAAAACGATTTTCAATTTTTTTGTAGTTTATTGCACTTTTTTGCAATTAATGTAATTACTATGGACTTAATGCATACATATTATTAAAATATGGGCTATAACAGTTGTATTGATGTATAGCAACTTGAAATGCTCCCAAAAATGGCACTACAGCATGTAAAAAAATAAATAATATAAGCTCTGGCGGACTTGGTTCTATGGTAGGTCTTAAAGGGTTAAATAAATATCGTCAAATAATCGAGATCTCAATTTCAGTGAAAATAATCGTGATTATCATTTTTGCCCTAATCGAGCAGCCCTACGTTTAGCACCAGATTGTTCTCTCTACACCAGCCCACAAGGTGTTCTCCTGTACACTTAATTCATCGTTTCCGGAAATCAGTCCTACCACTGTGGTGTCATCTGTAAACATAATAATTAGGTTCCCCTCATATCTGGATACACAGTCGTGTGTTATCAGTGCAAACAACAGTAGGTTGAGAACACAGTGGGGTTTGGAGATGGTTTTTCCCAACACGGACAGACTCAGGGCTGTAAGTCAGAAAGTCCAGGATCCACAGTTTGTGTTCAGGACAAGTAAGAGGAGTTTCTCAGTTAGTTTCTGTGAAGTAATGATGTTAAATGCTGAGCTAAAATCAATGCATAGGTGTCTTTGCGGTCCAGATGGATGATAACGGAATGTAAGGTGGATATTGCATACTTTGTGGAGCAGTTGGAATGATAAGCAAACTAGAACGAATGTTGCAGGAACGCCTAGCTATAATGTAAATGGACTGGTTCTTATATAGCGCCTTTCTACTCTTCTGAGCACTCAAAGTGCTTTATATAACTTGTGCATTCACCCATGGATATTTGGCATGCAGACTAGGGGAAGCAAGGAATTGAACCACCAACCTTCCGATCGGTAGATGACCTGCTCTACCGCCTGAGCTACAGCCACCCCAATGTGTAGCTTGATAAACTGTTCAAAACACTTCATCACAATTGGTGTCAATGCAATGGGATGGTAGTCATTTAGACAGCACATGGGGTTTTTTCTGGATGTTTCATCTGTAGCTCATTGATGGCGTCGTGTACCCCTCCAAGTGACTCATTAGCAGTGGCCTCGGTATTAGCACTGGGCGTTATGTAAACAGCAGCTGTGATAACAATGGTAAATTCTCTCAGCAGGTAGAATGGCTGGCATTTCACAATGAGAAACTCTGCCACATTAGTCACACAACACTGCACTCAGCTGCCATTAACACATGAATTTTAATATAAATTAATATAGATGCACAGACCTCCACCTCGACTCTTACCGGAGCTAGGTGCGTCTCTTATATTATATTACAATCTACATATATATATATATATATATATACATTATATATATATATATATATATATAGTATATACACTGGGTGAATGTGCAGTAGTAGCAGCAAGCAGGTGAATTCTGTACATTAATATGAATAGACATCTGACTATTTTACAGGATAGACAATATAAACATATTTAAAATTAAAGGAATTGAAATGTACATTGTGCCTTGGTTTAGTGTCTGGAAGAGTCCTGTCTCAGTCAATTATAGATGATGTGAGAGGGCGGGTGTGTGTGTTTAGGGCACGGATGGCTTGGGGATAGAAGCTCCTCTTGAGTCTCTCTGTCCTTGCCCGGAAGATGCGGAACCTTCTACCAGATTGCAGAAGTTGGAACAGTTTGTTGCCAGGATGGGACGGGTCCTTCAGTATCTGCGCTGCTCTAGTCCGGCATCTCCTGGTGTAGGTGTCCTGAAGCGGGGGGAGAGCAATCCTGCAGCAGCGTTCTGCTGTACGGATCACTCTCTGGAGAGCTTTTTGGTCCTTCACACAGCTGTTCCCAAACCACGATGTCATGTTCTGTGTGAGGATGCTCTCCACAGCGCCTGTATAGAAAATCCTGAGGATCTTTGGAGAGACCCTGAACTTCCTCAGTTGTCGTAGGTGATACAGGCGCTGCCTAGCCTTTTTGGTCTGGACCTGAATGTGGGCAGCCCATGTCAGGTCTGAGGAGATGTGGACACACATGCGATAGAATATGGTAAAACCGCATGCGCAGTGCATTTGTTTTCATATGCACATGGCGGCAACGGAGAATGAGAAGGGGGAAAGCGGATCGTTGAGTGAAACGGATGAACCAGAATTGGTTTGTAAAAATGGTGCAACTTCAGTGATGTGGAACTGTTTGGTGTTTGTCCGTCAATACCCACCAAAGCAATTTTTTTGTAGAACATGCAAGCGGGCCGTCGTTATTGCCGTATTTGTCGGACTAAGGTGCTCGTAAATCTGGGAGTAATCTGGGTCCTAAACTCCAGGTCCCAAAGTCAAACGAACACTGCAGCATCACTGAGAGTTAAAAACTGTCTAAATTCTTTCATCTTTAATAAAATGATCAGTGTTGCTGCTTTACCAGGTGTAACAATTAAGTTTAACATCCAGGCATCCATGAAAACAGAATTTATTACATTTAACAGAGTTAGAAGTTAGCAGGAAGTTAGCTCGCTAGTTTCCACCTAAACATGATATAGCATGTTCTGACTGAGAGATTTCTGAAAAAATTCAAACGTACAGCTCTGCTATCACTTCCAACATAAATGAAGACAGAAAACTAAACAGCAGTGACGTTTGTAGGGTTACTGAAGTTGGGCTAGCTGGTATATAATGATGTGCTACGTGATCGCTAGCGACACAGCTATGTTAGCATAACATAAACACAGTGAAGCTGGAGGATGAACGCTAACTTTTTTCCACTCGATAAAAGTTAACGTGAGGGTTCCTGATGGTTAGAGACAAATGCAATCGCATGGCAGGATGCTGTAAACGGACCAAACTTCAGTCAGGAGAACAACTGAGATAATCCATCCACAATACGAGGTTAGTCATTAATATACTGCAACAACATGGGAATAGAGCAGCTGTGATAGAATACAGCATTAATGAATCAGTGGTACAGAAGCGGAGGAAGCAAAAAGAATGAGTTAATAAAGTTTGATTTATCTGACTGCTTTGTTTCGCTTAATGTGCCTTATAATCCCGTGAAGTTTATGGTCCGAAAAATACGTATTTGACTTTTTTATTTGGCACACTGCTGTTTAATGTTGCAAAGCACCTCTTTTTAACTTTAGTGGATATCATACATGGTTATGCTGAGGATGTGTCAGCCCATTTCTACTGGAAATGCCCTTTGGTTAAACATTCAGCAAGGAATTTGCATTTGCACTGTTAAATTTTTATAAAGCTTTAATGCACATAAACAAACAGCTGCTTGTTTAAGTGAAAATGAATGGATGGGTTTTTTGCGCTAGTAAAGTTGTGGAGTTGTATTTTGTATTTTGTCTCGCATCAATTATATCGTCAGTTGTATCGTTATCGCAAATTTTCAAATGTATATCATGATGAATATTTTTGGCCAGATCACCCTGCTCTTGTTGCAAGCAAGCATTGTAGTTCAAACAACGTACTTTGCCCTGATTTTTAGTAAGGTCTCTTGGCTGCAAGTTTTACAGCCAGAATGTTGGATTTGCAAAACAAACAAAACTTCCACTCTCACCTGTCCCCAGACGAGCCGCTGCGTCCATGCGCACCGCCATCTTACATTACATCTGAGTGGATGTGTTGAAAGATTTCACTGTGTTAAAATGGCATAGGAATGTAAAAACTTTGGGATCTGTTGATACATAGCATTCATCCTACTGATATTTCTTTTACCCCCACTAAAGCTATGAGCCACCTGAATGGACAAAAGATGTACGGGAAGATCATCCGGGTGACACTGTCCAAGCACCAGACGGTGGCATTGCCTCGGGACGGCCTGGATGATCAAGGTCTGACCAAGGATTTTGCCAACTCCCCACTTCATCGTTTCAAGAAACCAGGTTCCAAGAACTTCCAGAACATCTTTCCACCCTCTGCCACTCTTCACCTTTCCAATATCCCGTAAGTACTGGTATGGTCAGTTGGCATCACACAGAGGACATGCCACCGAAGGATTTCTGAAATACTCCTACTAACTAGCACAGCTGTTAATGCAAGAGATTAACTGTGTTCTTGGTGTGGTGGCTAATGAACAGATCTCATTGTTAACAGTTTATATTAAAACTGCTAAATGATTAGACTTGGAGAAAAGAGCTGATGCTAAAATCATGTATGATTAGAGTCTGTGTCTTTCACTTTGGCAGACAAGATGTGACAGAAGATGACCTGCGGCTGCTCTTCTCCAACACTGGAGGCACTGTGAAAGCATTCAAATTTTTCCAGTATGTACAGCTGTCCTACCTACTGGACAAGTCCAGGCTAACATTTGTTAAAGATTCCCATAAACCTCCATCCTGCCACTTCCATCCATCTAGTTAATCTGTGGCATTTGTCTCTGCTTCGTGTTTTCAAGAGATCGCAAGATGGCTCTGATCCAGATGTCAACAGTGGAGGAAGCCATCCAGGCACTGATCGACCTTCACAACTATAACATGGGAGGCAACCAGCACCTGAGAGTCTCGTTCTCCAAGTCCACCATTTAAGAATGTGACCCACAGGCTCCGGACACTATGACTGTGATGGTGGAACTATTTCAAGCTCCTAGATTGTCTGAACACCAGGGGGACCACATAGATTGAATCAGTTATCTTGATTGTATCATTCCTTGATATCCTTTTATTTTCTTTAAAAAGAACAACATTGGATCTCCCCAGCTCTTTCTGAAGTGTCTCTCCATATTTTTTTGTCAAGCAGAACCTTGAAATGGTTGGTTGTCCCCCTGTACGTTAGTTGGATGTAAATCGGTGAATCATTTTTAAATGAAAAGATACAGTACTCGTGTGCCTTACTCAACTATCTTTTCCTACAGTTGGATATGTTAATTTATCAAACTCCTACCGAGGCACATTAGTATTAATGAGTTGATGAGAATGCAAGATGTTTTCTATTCATCTAGACAGAACAGTCTAGAAGCTGTGCCTCTGACTAGGCATAGCCGTGTTTCTTCTCCAATTTTAGATGACATTTTCCTTTTTAGTTTAGCAGCAGGAGAGCTGAATATTCCTGAGGTAAAATGTTTTTGGTAGCCTATGACATGCAGTTTAACTGGAACGCCTTTATTCCAAAGGGATGTTCAGTGGAAGATTGTTCTAGCACAATCCATGCATAAGAAACTATGACAATGTAGTAAAGTATTTTGTTATGTGATTTTGAAGCCTTCCTTGCTTTTCTTTTCTATAGCAGTGAGGTTTAATAGTTGGTGACAGTGTTCTTTAAAGCATGCATGATGATAGGATCTCACATAAGTGTTGCATGCTGTGGAAGCAGTAAAAAGATGAGTCCACTGTGATTGCATTGTCATGTGACACTGTACTTGAGAGGGCTACTCAGTTGGACCAAAGTTTCGGTGCCTTTAGTGTTAAATCATATAAACAAAAAAGAGCATTTTAATTGTTGTGTATATGGGGAAGATGTCCACGATTCAAAGTGTTCACTGAATTCTTTTATTTTTAAATCACAAACCTGATTTCATAGGCATTTGTTCTGAACTAATCCTGGTGTATATACATATATTTTTTTTTATCGTCAAAGCTATGTTTTTGTTTTTTTTAATGTAGTTCAGAATGTAAGGATTTGGACTCAAGCTGGTGCAATTAAAGGATAAAAAATTTTTCTAACAACGGAGGTTCAACTTGGTTTTCTGTTTTTTGAGTTTCCCCTCTCACGGTGTCTCTTATGTGTTCCGCATTACCTCTGTAGCATGTCTAATAAAACTCTTCTGTAGCTCTGCATTCACTTCCTCTGTTTCACTCCTCTATTTTATGTCTGCTCACTTCGGAAACCATCTTCAGTCCTAGGTGGGAGAAGACCAAAATCAAGTTGGAGACACTTGAAAGCAAGCTCTAATAAACCAGATTGAACCCTGTGAAGTTTCTAGATTATAGGACACTTTCTCGATATGTTTCCCACTCTGCCAGCTTACTCAATCTGTTCCTTTAATATCTCGCTCTTCTCTCCTCTGGTATTTCCCCATTTTCTGATTAGCCTAAGGACCACTGCTGTCCTGACCATCTGTTTGGGAGAGCTTGACACAACCACAGGCATCAGTAACAGGCACTTTTTAGTCTTTGCACACAGCTTTAGCCTGTAGAAATGTGAGGGGTTTTGATTTAGCCAGCACTTGGGTCTACAATAGAAATAAAACTCAGCTGACAGGGAACATATAAACCACACAGAAGGCCTGCAGCTAAACTGGGGGTTTAAACTGGGAAACTATCTGTGCACTGACAGATCCCATTACATTGTATAGAATGGCATGAAATGTAATGGACACAGCATTTAAATGTGCAGAAAGTGAATTTCAAACTGTAAATAAAGCACTATTAATCTACTTTCTATTAACCGGAAGGTTTCGTTTGTGGTTCGTTCCCCGGCTGCTCTAGTCTACATGCCAAATATCCTATGGCTTCAAGTTGCTCTCCGGTGCAGGTGGATGGATAGAAAGCACTAATCTAGAAAAGCATAGACAAATGTGCTTGGCTGGATAAGACGAAACACATGGCTTTGCTCATGCAGTCCATTTACTATTTACTCCCTGAGCTAGAAATGACTGAAACACTGGGAGAAGTGCTAGTACTCACACTACACCACAGTTTTCTTATTAATTTAAAGAAATCAGTGCATCTAGTGGCATAGTTCTAGTGATTAACAAAAGTGGAAAAATGTGATTGTCAGTCCATGATTGTGAGGAACACTAAGTTTGAACAGTGTGGTATCTTAGACTAGAATAGAATAGCCCTTTGTTGTCACCGTACATGTACAACAAAGTTGTGGGTGCTTCACACAAACTCTGTCAGATTAAAATCTGAATAGCAAACGGGATAAATATATAAAGTTTAGGGATATATACAAAATGAGAAAGGCATGTATTAGAGAATAAAACTGTTGCAAAGTGCTTGGAAGTAGTGTAAAGAAAAGACTACTGTGGAAACTACATGAATGATATAGAGCTAGTTTCTTTCAAAGGTTGGGTGTAAGGCATGGTGCTTGTACCTGTGGATGTGTTTTACAGTCCAGCCTTCTGGAGTGCCGAGTGGGTAAAGAGAGGAAGGCATTCAATGTCCTGACAGTCTGGTGGAGCCTGAAACGATGTGTGGGGGTTGGGGGTGGATCCCGCTCTAATAAATGGAACCACTAATAGTGGAAACTACTGGAAAATTACTGTCATCACTACCAGCACCAACTAAACTCACAGTTTGAACAAGAGCATCTTCCACCACTGGAGATGGCACTTAAAGGAATACAGGATGATGAACAGGCAACGTTTCTGCTGGACTGGAAAGAACAAAGCTTATGATGCTAATGTTCTCCATGTGGTAAGTGTCCATGTGCTCATTGATCCTGGTCCCTCCTGTTTAGGTCTAGAGGTAACTTAAAAAGGAGCTAAAATCAGGCAGTGCTCCTGAAAACAAACACAAATGGCCTCCCACTGGTGTTTTTTGTGTCCTGTCTCCTCCTTCATGCTAGAGTCAACACACTACTTCCATTTACTGATCACAATCATTTTCATAAGGTGACAGTGCTACCTGTAATATTAATATTCCCTTTTTTCCCTTTAGAAGCTAACTTTCTTCTGTCATATTCATCAGACTCTGCTGATGAAAAAGTGAAAAGTAAAATAAGCCCACATGCACACACCCACGGTGTTGTCTTTTACTTGTGTTTTTTGTATTTATTTCAGATTTTTTATTATTTACTAAATAAAGGAAAAGTAAGAAAAATGTATTTATAAAGGGCAATAAGCAGCTGCACAGCATTATAGAACAAAACGGTAAGATAAAAAAGGAATATTAGTGAAAGTGAAGTAATTATGTAGTTTAAAAGCCTAGTTAAACAAAACTGCTGCTTTCTACGAGTCCAGATGGTCTGCTAACCAAAGATGTACTGGGAGACTGTGCGAAAGTCTTGGTGCCACAGACTTAACTAGTACACACCATACAACACCTCACCTGGTGTTGGGTCTCTCTGCAGTAGACTATCACTTCCTGTTCCTGTTACAAGTGACAGTGGTTTTATCTGCGTAACCCATGTAATTAAAAAGCCTTTAGATAATAATTAATTAGTGAAGGTTACAAATAATCTTATGGCCTCTGACGGTGGACTCATCTCCCTGCTTGTCCTGCCAGTGCAGTTCTCCACAATATTGACTGTAATATTATCTTACCGCTATTACAGCATGTTGTAGGTAGTAAACATACTGCATTGTATCAATAGACTGCAGTTTGTTCCTGTAAATGGGGACTCCATTACAAAGAATGACTCCTAGCATGTATAACCTGACAATAATGAACTTGTGTATGTAAAGAACAGTGGAACATTTAAAAGGATGAAAATAATAAAGTTGCTGTCGCTGTGTTGATGTAAACAGGCTTCATTCCATCAGGGACCGGGTACATCCACATGACTTTGTGATGATGGACGCCCCTGTCAGGCATTGTTTGAAGAAGATTGCACTCCACAGTCCAGTCCTGGGCCTGTGCAGATGGCCTGATCCATCATCATGCAGACATTTGCAGCTCACTATTAGTGCCATGGGTTTTTATTTTGTGAGCGTTCAGTGGAAGTGCTTGTGTTCTGGATTGGGCTCTGAAAACAAAGATGACATGATGTATCAATGCAAACCAGAGGAGCTAATCAATACCTAGTCTTTGCAATGCATCACTAGGGCTGGACACTGTGATCCTACTCTCTGTCACCCAGATTATAGATGACAGGACAAAGTCTCATGGCTGCTGTTAGCTCATGGGTTTCTGCACTCCTGACTATAAAAACACATTGGAACTACGAGTTTGAAAGTAGGAAATTCTCATTCATTTTCTGTCTGAAATAATAATAATAACTTTGTTTGTATAGCACAACACAGGGTTACAAAGTGCTTCACAGTTTGAATAAAACCCACACACTGAAGTATACAAGTTAAAACATGCAGACACAATCAACCACACAGTCAGACATTCATTTCAACAGACTCACATATACACAACCAGTTCCAAACTATGGCCGAAAATAAAGGCGCAACGATTAAGGGAAAGCTAACCTGTAAAAATTAGTTTACAGTAGTCGTTTAAAACAGTTAGTAGAGTCAGCCGACCTAATTGACTCAGGAAGGCTGTTCCGAAGTTTGGGTGCAACAACCTCCAAAGCACGATTACCTCTAGTTTTGAAATCAGAGCAAGCGACAGGTAGGAAACCTTGGTTAGAGGATCGGAGAGGCTGATTGCTCTGTAGCTCTGCTACAGATACAGCCACTTAAAATGACCTAACTAGTATAATTGCAATAGTATAATTAATTGCAAGCTAGCTTTTAATGCAATACAAATAGCCAGACATAAAGCACTCAGATTGCACAATAATATGTATGTACATGGGTACTTCTGTTGGAAATATGTGGTGCTTTGTTCTAAACATTTCCTGTGATTAATAAAGTCAGTGAAAAGCTGCTGCACTAGAGGGACCCAAAGCTTTGGCACTGTGCTTAAAAACTATTGGTAATCCTTGCCATTTACCCATTCCAAACAAATTAACAGATATAGCTGTAACGATCACAGTCACGCCAGCTTTCTTGATGGATGGTATTACTCAAGTTGTCTGCCGCTAATCTTAGTATTTTCATCTTTGTGATTTATTTTAATACTCTGGTTAAAAAATGTTGAGCTGTGAAAGGGACACTCAGAGTGCAACAACAGGCACATGTCCCATAAATAAATGTTCAACATAATACTGCAGTATTCATTCATTCCTAGTTAGGTACTTAATGGTGCAAAAACTTCATGTACTGACAGGTAGGAGAGAAATAATATTAGCATATACCTCAGCCTGAATGAGTGACCATGCAAATAGTGCTCTTAGCCTTCATAGACGGCGATTTTTTCAACTATGCAATTAAGACATTGTCTATTTTATATGTTTTCTATATCGTTGTGTGTAATCACATTGCCCGCTGTGAACCACCAGTACCACATCCATCGAGTTAACACTGATGTAACACTGTGTTTGACAAAGTCTCTAGTGCGGAGACTGCCGGCTATCGGTTGATTAATCTGAAGCAGGGTAGGCGAAGCATGACTGACTTTTCTGTTGATTTCTGAACCCTAGCTGCACAGACCAAGTGGGCACCTGAATCTCTGAAGACCACCCTGTTACATAATATCCGTGAAGAGCTCAAGGATGAGCCTCTCTAAATGCCTTAATGTTCCTTTGTATTCAGGTGGATGATCGCCCGCGGGCGCGCCAGAGCTCACGAAGACAGCCGTTTCGAGAGCCTCCGGCTTCTCGGGACCTCCAGCCCGACGCACGGGAGGCTAGAGCTTTCAGAACTGAGGAAGAGGTACCCATGCAGCTGGGGCGTTCGCGACTCACTCCGGCGGAGCGTCAACGCCGGTTCTCCACGGGTGAGTGCTTGTATTGCGGCTGCAGAGGGCATTTCATCTCTGCCTGCCTGGCACTGGCAAAAGGGGGCGCCCGCCAGTAATCGAGAGGGTACTGGTTTGCGATCTGTCTGGCAAAAACCCTCTTCCCCGTCTCTTGCTGTCCGCAAAACTCACCCTCCGGTCGACGTCACATTCCCTCTCTGTGTTAATTAACTCTGGTGCAGAACAGAATTTCATTGATGTGTCTCTAGTCTCCAAGTTTAGCATTAGCACCCGGCCACTGCCTCATCCCCTCCGCGTGTCCGCCCTGTCCGGTCACTGTTTGCCAGACATAACGCACATCACCTTGCCTGTCACACTCACCCT